TTCTTTGATATTCTACACACAAAGCCTCAGCTGGTGATGGACTATCCTGAGCCTTAATACTATTTGACCAGAAAAGGTATTTTCTTCAAAATAATGAGAACTCGCTTCAGAAAACCAGGTGACAATCTCTAATATAGTTTCCCCCATCCAGCAGACCATCCTCAAAAGCAGTAAAAACAGAAATATTTTATCAAAAACAAACCCTGGAAATATATTTGTACAGGTTTTTGTAGCGAGGAAGCAGAGGCACACTTTCAAATCGCTGATTGTGACGGCCTTCTCCGTCCGACTTTCACACCCGGAATTTGAGGCTGAATTGTCTGCGGCTTGCTCGCAACAGGTCCCTCCACATCACAGTCATTAAGACAGGCTTCTCTTACTGGAAGATCTCATTAGAGTCACATTCTCTGCTAGATTCCTTCAAAATGAAATCACTCTTCAAATTCGAGTGTGATGTGACTAAGGGGGCAGACAGTTATTAGAAACAGCAGTGGCAAAAATAAACTGAATGAAGTCCCTGGAAGTTTAAAGATGAATAAAGAAGCATCTTTCATAATGATGCTGTGATGATGATTGGAAAAGAAACCTCATACTCTGCCCTGGAGCAACTCCTACAGCAGTTCAAGTAGAGTCCGTCCTAAGAATACTAATTCTGACAAGTGGTCCCGTATTTAGAACGCAGCAGGCATTAAACCCAATGCTTCTGCATTGGTTGGTTAACTCAGTCCTACAACCCGCATGTCGTTTTCATCCCATTATAAATATGAGAAAACCAAGACTAAGGGAGTTCTGGTTATTTGTTCCAAGTTAACTGGGAATGAGTAGAAGAAGTGGAATTTGATCTCTCGCTGTGAAACTCTAAGGTCTACACGTTTAAGCCCATTGCTTCCTTTGATGGATCACAGACTACTGTGGCCATGGAGAAATGAACATGCACAATGAATGAAGTCTTAAAGCTTTAAAAGATGCTGGTACTTTTGCAGAGAATAATAGTATAATATCAGATATTTCTGTGAATTTCAAGACACAATGTAGCTGATCAACTAATTTTTAAAAAAAAAATCTGCATTATAGAATCTTTTTTATAATTTAGCAGGAATTTTAATTGTCTGAGCTGGAGACGCTGTTCTTACTTTGGCCACAGAGTATGCAGGATGGTGGAGAAGGGTAAGAGGAGTTTGGAGTCAATTGCATGGTTGAAACTCCAGGTCTGCCATGTTCTGGCTGTGTGATTCTGGCCAAGTTGTTTAATCTCTGTCATCACCTTCCTCATTCCCAAATAGGCATAATAGAACCTATCCCACAGATTTCAACGAACATAAATGCACCTATCCGACAGATTGTTATGAAGAGTAAATGAATTAGTATATATAAAGCGCTTACATAGTAACTAGCATGTGGTTAAGTGCAAAACACACAAACCTTTATTATTGTTCCATAAATATATACAAACAATCCTAGGATGCATAAGAACCATTTACCCTCCTTAATTTTAATTGTTTATCCCAGAAAATCTGTGAACCTTGGCTAATATATCACAATGGGTATTTAATAAATGTTTACAGTGGTAAAAGATATAATCATAAGCTAGCCATCATGATTAATACACCGATACAAATAGCAGAATTATTATTATTCAAACTATTATTTAATATTAATTCACCTGGGAATGCTATCATATAAGAAGAAAGAAAAGTTAGGGAATATATGGAAAGATTTGGCGCCCTCCCTAAACTCATAGAGTAAGGATTTAGTGAAGATAAAGGCAACAAACAAGATAGATCTAAAAGGTTACATTCCTGCAGAAAGTTCCCCAGAGGTTAAGAAAATAGTGGATTTGCTACACCAAAATATCTGCCATTTCTCACACAATATGGACGAGATTTTGTGGAAAATA